ACTACCATTGGAATGGATAGAAGAATAGCCAAAATGGCAAGGACTCAGCCAACAATCAGCTCCAGGAAGATGAAAGAAGGTGTAAAGTTCCCTGTGAGGACTGTTACAATTAGAAGACGCCTATGTGAAGCCAAGCTGTCTGCAAGAAGCCCCCGCAAAGTCTCACTGTTATAAAAAAGACATGTGCTGAAGAGGTTACAATTTGCCAAAGAGCACATTGACTGGCCTAAAGAGAAATGGCGCAATATTTTGTGGACTGATGAAAGTAAGATTGTTCTTTTTGGGTCTAGTGGCCGGAGACAGTTTGTCAGACGACCCCCAAACACTGAATTCAAGCCACAGTACACTGTGAAGACAGTGAAGCATGGTTGCGCAAGCATCATGATATGGGGATTATTATTATTATACAGGATTTATATAGCGCCAACAGTTTGCTCAGCGCTGTACATCATAATGGGAGACAGTACAGTAACAATACGATTCAATACACGAGGGGTTCGAGATGTTTCTCATACTACGGTGTTGGGCCTATTTATCGCATACCAGAGACCATGGATCAGTTTGAATACATCAGAATACTTGAAGAGGTCATGCTGCCTTATGCTGAAGAGGAAATGCCCTTGAAATGGGTGTTCCAACAAGACAACGACCCCAAACACACCAGTAAACGTGCAACATCTTGGTTCCAGACCAACAAGATTGACGTTATGGAGTGGCCAGCCCAATCCCCGGATCTTAATCCAATAGAAAACTTGTGGGGCGACATCAAAAATGCAGTTTCTGAGGCAAAACCAAGAAATAGAGAAACTGTGGAATGTAGTCCAATCATCCTGGGCTGGAATACCTGTTCACAGGTGGCAGAAGTTGGGTGACTCCATACAACACAGATGTACAGCAGTTCTCAGAAACAGTGCGACTACAACAAAAATATTAATTGATTCAAAGGAAAGCAAAATCTTCAAACATTTTTCAGTTTATATAGTGAATGTTTGAGTTTGTAAAGAAGAATACAAACACTGCTATTTTTTTGAACCGTCTAATATTCACTTTCCTTCAATTTATTTAGAGGAACAACACAAATTTGATATACTTTTCTTCATGTTTTGATTTGGAATAGAATGTGTCGTGTTCCCAATGCATTTGTGTGTATGGAAATAAAAGCTATTAGAAGGATTTTGAGCTTTATTCACTTTTTTCAACACACTGCTATTATTATGAACACAACTGTATGTAAAGCGCGTTAGCATGTGGCAGTGTCATTGTCTTCAACAGAAAAGTGGTATTTTCCTCCTGGATAGGGTATCATTTTGCAGCTGCTTACTAATTGAAAAATTTCATACCACTATTGCCACTCCTCTTGAAACAAAATCTTCATCTTTCCATTCATCAGAGAGAATAGAAGGCTGTGCCTTGAAAACGGGATGTTCTGACTTCGAAAGGCAGTCATCTAGGTCATCCGGTTCGGGCCTGCTACCCTAAAGTATGACTGGACCCAAGAAACTCTTGAACACTGCATAGCCTTTTAAAAGGATGATTGACCTTCTACCCCTGGTGAAGCCAGGTGCAAGGCAAAAGTGAATGGCTTGGATAAAGGTGCCTCCAATGCCAGGAATAAAGATGGCTATGATGGGCTTGGGGCCTCCTTGGTAAGGAGGGCTAACTATAGTGCCTTGTATTCCTGTGCAGGTCTGCGTCCTTGACGTTGTGCCCGGAGTCTGCTGGCATAAGTGGTTGGAGAACTCAGAGGATCATTAACGATTTGTCTATGAAGGACCATGACTTGCTGGCTCCCAGCCTTCTTTGTCCTTGGAGAGGTTTCAGTGGCAATATCATCAGACATGTTAGTCTGGTATTAGGTCCACACCGCAGGCTCAGCACTTTTTACCCTTTGTCACTCTTAGAGCTCAGGGAAGCAGAGATGCCAACACTCACTGGGAACTTTATGTGCATCCTGGGTGAGCCCTGCGGGGCTGGAAGAACCACTGGACTCGTCATGCCATGGCAACGCTCTTTTAGGTTGATCTTTAAGCAAGAGCGGAATAGGTTGTACCAGAAAGACGAAGGCCACACTCTTGGAAAGGCACTCTTTTTCCTCTTCTTACTTACCACACTGATGGTCTCTACGTGAGCACATGGAGGTCTTGGTTATGTGGCAGAAGGCTCATGTTGGAGCAAGAATGTCAGCACTGCGCAGAAAGTAAAATGAAAGACTAAGAAAAAGAAGCAAACAGATCATAGACATGTGCCTGAATCATCTCTCTCCCCCCACCCCCATTCATCTGCAGCATAAGCAAGGAAAGACAGAAGATGTTTCCAGTGCAAACCCAACTTGCACATGCGTTAGCCTTAACAAAGATGGTCGCCACCAGAGGCCCTCTGCACAGTGTATGTGTGGATGCCATAGCCAGTCATGAGACTGGAAACAGCCACAAACCCCAAATCGGATTGTGTGCACACGCTGGCCACAGGTGAAAGGAAAAAACTGCTGACAAAAGTAAACCCCTAAAATCACTCTCACAAAAGGAAAAAAAGACAAAAATCTAATGAAGGTAGAGGCAAGGGAGGAAAAGAAAAAGGGATAGCACCAGGGGCGGACTGACAACTCATGGGGCCCCCGGGCAATAGGGGATCATTGGGCCCCTGTGTCCTTGCCCAAACTCACAAAAAGCCTATGAAAAAGGTACCAGGGGCATCTCATGGGGCCCCCTACTGACCCCGGGCAGTACCCGAGTTTCCAAATGGTCAGTCCGTTCCTGGATAGCACTAAGCTGTGGGTGGAAAAAAAAAAAAGGCAGCACTAACTCCAGAACCATGATTCTGCTCAGGTGTGCAGAGAAACATGAAGCATGGACTGCAGCAAACAAATAACCAGCTCAGGTGCAGCACACAAGGTTCTGACATCTCTGGTTAGAGAACTCCTCAGCCTCAAAAGACTACCAGAAGGGGCTCCCCACCTTGTTGGTGCATTTAGCAACCTAAGATGCAGGACTGCGCTTAGGAGAGGCTGAATCCAGATGGGCTCCGACTCAGTTGGCAGGTAGGGTCTTATCACAACATCAAGGTCTTGAAGGTGTAGATTTGAGGACAAAAAGGAGAATGGGGGAGGTTGCTTTCAGACTTTTATAGAAATACATAGGTCCTGTGTGTGGACATAGGGGCGGAGCTATATCACATGCATGCTGCCATGTTGGCATCTGGAAAATGTTTTACCTTTAGTTCTACTTTATGTGTGGAGCAGTTGTCATTTTCATACGTGTGTACACCCGATGCATAAAATTAACTGGAACGCACATGTCGCTATTTAAATTGAAGAAAAATAGAGGAGGGAAAAAATTAACCGGAAATTATCAACAACACACCGGAATGCGCCAAAAACACCCATGCAGAAAAGCATCTGGACTGTGTTTCTATAGTGTGAACCGGCCCTTAAACTTTATATATTTTTTTTAAAGTAGAACTAAAGGCAAAATGTTTTTTTTTCATTTTGCATAGAGCAAGGCAGGCTTGTCAGATTTTTCTCACCATCTATATCCCATTGCAGAGATTTCCCTTCACTTCCTGTGCCACTGCCCAACAGGAAGTGAGAGGAAGTCCCTGCAGAAATTAAGGGAATTCCTTGGGGATCCCCAGGTCACCAGAACTAGTGTCCCCATTGGAATATATTTCCTCTATGGGTGCAACCCATAATTTGGGGTTTTCTTTGACTTTCACTTTTGAGAATAATGGCAAACAGGGCAAATAGAGAGGGTGCATCTCCTTAACAGGGGACAGCAATAAAAACTGACAAGTGTTCTATTCCCTCTCCACTTTATCTAAAACAAATGAAAAACGTTTTGCTTTAGTTATACTTTTTTTGCAATTACAAGGGGGCTTCCATGGCCAGAGAGGCTGGAGATTACTTATGGGGTTCACCATTGTCAATCACAGCTGAGCCCTTATGGGTTAATTCTTGCTGCTACTGCCCTTGGGGGTCTAGTTACATGTCAGTGCCCACTCTGCCGCATTTCCTTATGGCGTCAGCAGCAAAAGGGTGGAAGACCCCACGGATGCAGAAAAATACCTGAAATAAACTTGGCTCTCAATTTCCTGGGCTGTCAACACAGCATTTTTTGTGGACTGAGTGGCTTCAATTTTTACATCTGGAGGAAAAGAAATTTAATCTCCAAACACGGAAAGGTTTCTTCACAGTGAGAGCTGTGAAAATGTGGAATAGACTCCCTCAAGAGTTGGTTCTGGCCAGCTCAGTGGATTGCTGTAGGAAAGTCCTGGATTCTTTCTTAGATACACAGAATATAACTGGATATAACATTTATGGGTAAAGTTGATCCAGGGAATATCTGATTGCCTCTCGGGGGATCAGGAAGGAATTTTTTTCCCAGCAGGAGCAAATTGGATCATGCTTTGCTGGGTTTTTTGCCTTCCTATGGATCAACAGTGGGTATAGGATTATAACTTTTTTTTTTTTCCTATGGTTGAACTGGATGGACTTTTGTCTTTTTTCAGCCAGACTAACTATGTAACCCTGCCCAGTTTCCTATGCTATACTACTCAACCACTCTCCATGTCTTCATCTTTAAAGCATAGGTACTCACTAATATGTAGTTTTTAGGTCAGAATGGGAAGGGCTGAATGGACACTTGGTGATAACACAGACCAAGAGCACAGAACAGCTATGAATTTTTCAAGATCAGTTTCTTTTTACACTTACAGATCTAATAAAATGCTTTCAATTGTATATTTGACAGACCATGGGAACAAACAACACAGATGCATTTGTAATCTACACTTTTGGGACCTGGCTTGCAACAGACCAGATGGGCCCTATGTGTCTCCTCTACCATCTAGGACACTACAATTATAGTAAACTTTTCAGTAATAAATCCATGAGCACTTTGGGTCTCTGAGCAGCCATATTTAAGATGTTCCAGGTTCAATCAGCCTTCTAACTTGCTGAATGACAATACTCATGGCAGTGGTAGGGTTAAGCACAGCCTGCTTACCTTTGTAGCACTCTCAGGAGCTTCCTGCTTTTAATGGGGTATTCCTGGTGAAGCTGGAGGTACTGGGGATGCGTGCCCTTGTCAGTTAGGCTGCTGAAAGCTGCATGGTTCTCTGGCAGCTGGAGTAGTGAGCGCCAGATAAACATCCTAAGGAGAAGTGACAGTTTAGCTTTAGAAGACGTACACTCACACTACACACACAGCTAAATGGACCTGTGACTATAGCAAACCTATAAGCCTGTCCTGCCCTCAGCTAATAATGAAATCTTCTACTCCTCCAATTAGTCCATCCCCCACAGTTACTACCTTTTGTACCACCAGCCCCTCCCTCCTAGATTGTAAGCTCCAAGGAGCAGGACCCTCCTATCCCTCTTCTATTGAACTGTATTGTTGCTGTATTGTCTCCCCGTATATTGTAAAGCGCTGAGCAAACTGTTGGGCCATATAAATCCTGTATAATAATAAACCTGCCACTTACTCTATAGAGCAGGCACTGCTGGGTATTACCATGGTTTTTCTGTTTTTCATAGAACACCCTAAAAATTAGGTGCTCCAAAACACTAGGAGTTGAGTTATCAAAATCCAAAGTATGCTGCTTCAGAAATTTTATTTCAGTAATTGGTTGTTTCTGGTCTGTGACTATATTCATAGTGAAACTCAGCGACAGGCATATGACATATTTACATGTTCTGAGCAATGGAATTGCACAAAGCAGCCCTGAACCTCCTCTTTTTGGGTCCCCTGCTGGTGTTCCTGGCTCCTCCTCTTTAGTGAGTTCCCCCATAGGGAGCCATTTCCAATGGGGACACTCGTGCAGGCTGAATCCCAAGATGTGCTGCCCACATCCATAGACATTGACAGCACAGCTTGGCCCCTCCCCCTGCTCCCAGGATTTGACTGACAGCAGCGGGAGCCAAAGTCTGTCCAGTAAGAGTAGGGAGAGAAGAAAGAGCCAGTGCAAATGGGCACAGCGATGGTTCAAGAAAGGGGGGGGAGGGTTGGGGGGGTGATACTGCAACCTAAACATTTTTTTAATTTTCCGTTAACTCAAACTGATTCTAAAGGATTAATTTTTTTTTTTGAACAAAAAATATCAAACATGTCTATACTTACCTGCTGTGTGCAGTGGTTTTGCACAGAGCAGCCCCGATCCTCCTTTTCTCAGGTCCCCCACAGGCTATCCTGCCCCCTCCTTCCTGTTGGGTGCCCTGACAGCAAGCAGCTTGCTATGGGGGCACCCGCTGCTCTGTGTGGCCATTCACACACAGAGCCTTGGCTCTGCCCCCCTCTCTCTTCTTATTAGCTTACTGGCTGTGACTGACAGCAGTGGGAGCCAATGGCTCCCACTTGTGTCTCAGCCAATGAGAAGAGGGAGTCCCGGGATAGCCGAGACTACAGTGCACATTGCTGGATTGAGAGAGGGCTTAGGTGAGTATTAGAGGCGAGCTGGGGGGGATGCTGCACAGAGTAGGCTGAGCCTTTACAACCACTTTAAAGCAGGGAATGCATTAAGGTACAAATTGTTAGGCTTTAGAACCATTTTAAAAGGATAAGTATGGCCAAAGCTATTTTGGTCATACTTCTCCTGTGGGTCACAGGAGTGCACGTAGTTCTGCACTCCCATAACCCATATTCAGCTGACAGCAAGCTAAAGACTGCTGTTGGAGGACGTTACAGAGTCAGTCCAGGCTTTGCAGGGATCCCGTCAATGTCGGGATCTGCCCCAAATGCCTGACCGGTAGCTGTGAACAAGTAAATGCTATGGCCAGAGATAATCCCCACGGAGGTGGAATGTCGGTGCTCTGGTTTTGGGTGTCTTCCCAGCACAGATGCAACTGAATAATGAGCATGGGTATAGCCGGCACTTGTCTAGTAAACTTTATTGAACGAGTAAAAAGTACATATAAAATGGCTCAGCGCTGAGAGCCTGAGCCAGCTGCTCCTGCCCCCTCCACAGCCCAGCGCTCCAGTAAGTGCTGGAGGGGTAGAGCACAGAGAGGAGACTGACAGTCACTGCTCTGTGCTTGGAGTGCACCCTAGAACTAAGCAATCTGTGGTTTGAGTCAGTGGGGGACAGCTGTAGCACAGATGGATAAATTCTAGAATGAAAATGATTGGGAAAAGGCAGCTCTAAGAACGTTTGCTTGTTTTTCTATTCGTTATTGGATCAAATTGACATTAGTTTTTGACTACAGTGACAAGAAAATTTAAAGGAACAAGACGGACAATATTTCTCAAATGAACAAATTTCTAACAAAGTGTTCCGTTTTTGTTCAGTACAGTCCATTCATTCCAAAATTAAATGTTAAAAGCAAACAGTCTTTCAAGCAACACATGGATGTCCTGAGAATTTTCATATGACTTTTCCTTAGAATTTTCGTTTGAAATTCTATACATCTATGACCAGCTTTATAGCACAGTACAGAAAAGGTGAAGTGACAGGCAGTTAGTCACAAGCCACATCTGCTCATCCTTTGCTTACATCCTACTGCATAGATTAACAGCCAGGGGAGGGTTTTAGCAATGGAGATGATGGCTTGTTTTGTTGACAAAATCCAATTATGGCTTGCCATTAACAGTTAGTTTAAACTACACACTTTAGGGAAAGGAGGAGTACATCTGAAATAGTTGAAAGACAGGTTCACTTGTTTGCAGGGTGGATAAAAATCAATGATAAAAAAAAAAAAAAAAATCAGATTTTTTTTTATTTACATCGGATTTTTTTTATTTAAATCAAATTTTTTTAAATAAAATGCTTTTTGAGGAAAATATATTACCATCCAAAGGTTATTCCATCATGAAATAAAGATTAGTTTTTTTAATTATGTAGAATAAGGCTGTATATGTTTAATTGTTTTGGTAAATAAATTCCATGAATCCATTCACAATGTCATGCTCTTCCAGAGGTTTTTGTAAGATTATTGGGCAGTTTCTCTGCCTACAAGATGTTATCACAGATGTTTGATTTACTTTTGCAGTTCTCAAAACTGAATTTGACTCAGCGGAGATCACATGCCTCTTCTTCACAGCAAAAATGTTATAACATGAACAGAGTTAAGAAAGACCTGAATCCTAACTTCTACAAACCTACGAATACAGAATCAACACCTTCAGTGCCAAGTTTCAAGAAGTTTAGTGAATAGAATAGAAACAATATTTTTCTGATTGTTTGGAGTGGAATAGATCTGCACAAGAAGAAAGTGAAACTAAGTGTGAGGAGGAAGGGGCTGACAGTCTAAGTTTCTTAAAATATATATATTTTGTTTAGCCAAATTAGTTACCAAACATGGATGTTTAAGCAAATCACATATGCTGGAATGTTATTGTTTCAGATGAATAAATCTATTTAAATTGTTATTATTAAGGTAATGATTATTTTCTCCTTCCTAAGTACAACAGAAAAGTTGTCCAAATATGAATGATTAACCTATTAAACTGGGGATAAAAAAAACTAATATGAAAAGTTGGTATTCTAAAAATCTTCATCTACTTGTATATTAAAGTTATACCAGCAAGAATTAGTCTTTATGTAGAAAACTAGGATTTAAATCAAGCCTTACTGACTAGTGATTTAAATCGTGATTTAAATCAGTTTGATTTAAATCAAATCCACCCTGCTTGTTTGTGAACTAAAACAAATGAATGTGCTACATTTTACCTGTATTTCGTTGGATACTCTCCAAAGCCCTTCAATAACGCTAGAAGCCGCTGCTTGTTCAGTCCAGTTGGCAACACATTCTGCAGTAAGCACAAATATCAAACTGCTAAAATACCTGATATTTCATAGAATCAGTTCACTGGTAAGCTGAAAGTGGAACTAACCCCACCAATTTACCACTGCCTTCAGTCCCGTTCACATATGGGCGATTTGGAATCACGCGCAGAATCGCTGCAATTCTGCCCACAATTCCAAATCATGGCAAAATGAGTGACATGCTGAGCGATTTTGCCTCAGTTGTTGTGCAGCAAAGCGTGAGTGCAAAAATCACACTCCTTGCTCAGAGCCACAATTTGGTCCCTGAGCTTCTCTAGAGTGGCAATCACACATAGGGCAACCCATTCAAGTAAATGGGCTGACCTATGGCGTGACACACTTTTTTGTGTGTGAATCGCTGTATTTAGACCGGAACCAGTGTTCCCGCTAAGGCACTGTGAACAGTGTGGTGTAAATAAGAGGGTTTATTCCCACAAAGAGGTATTGTGATGACAAATTCAAATGCAGTGAATACTAATCCATTTCAACTTCATATAACAGAGCTTCTAGTGGAAATATCTGGTGCAGAAATTGTCTGTTTCCTGTGTACATTGCCATGTTCAATTATCCCCAGACCAGAGAAAACCAGGGATTTCATCTTTTCCACACTCCTGTCACTTCAAACACCAATCTGTGTAGCTACGATTGGACAGGAGATGTCTAGCATTGCACTACATGACCAGAGTCTGGGCTACCTAACCAAATCAGCATTCCTAAAGTGGAACTCTAGTAAAACTTTCACTTCTCCTCCTGCTCCTCACCCCAATGCCATTACTATATCTATTTTTGACAGGTACTCACTCCCACCTGTGTGAGAATAGCGGAAGTTTGTCACAGATCCCAGAAGGGTGCAGGACCAGCTTGTAAGCACAGATGATCTTGCGCATGCGCAGTGGAGAGCTGTGAGACAGCAGGAAGTCACAACCAACTTCCCACAGTCAAGATGGCAGTACCGGGGACCTGAAGACCAGCCCGTGTGATCATGGAGCTGGATCCCTAGGCTGGTGAGGGTCTGTTTTATTAAAAGTCAGTAGCTACAGTATTTGGTTTTTGTTTTGGTTTTTTTGGACTGGAGTTCCTCTGGACTTGACCGAAGGATGAGTTCACCTTACGTTGAGTCAACCTTGGACATCAAAGTTGCATGACAAGTCAGAACCCATTCTTTTCAATGGCAGCTGCTCAAATCAAATCAGTGCGACCTAAAGTTGCAGTGACTTTTAAAAAGGCGCCTGCACTACTTTGATCCACAGCATGTAAAGTCACATCAAAGTCGCACTGGAAATCGTGCAATTTTGGAGTCACATAAGTGTGAATGGAGTCTAACAGGTGCTTTAATCCCTCTCCACTCTATTCAAAACTTAAAGAAAAAAGTTTAAAATCAAATAAAAATTGCATTACCATGATACTTCAACAATCATAAAATACCTCTATTAAAAAATAAAATGGTAGTAAAGAAAAAAAAAAAACCAATTTCACCTGCAAGGCAAGGTATAGGCATAACGTACTAGTGTGCATCGCCTGCTAGCACATTATGGAAGACTTACCTTGAAACTAAGCCCTCCAGTGGCACAGTCACTGCTGCACTGCTTCCATCTTCACCCAGTCTTCCTTCCGGGTTCCCGGGCTGTGGCACTTTGGAATGGCCAAGCCGCGATAAAGTCACTCCCGGCACGCTGTCCATTGACAGCCATGGCTGGGGCTCAGAGCTCTGAAAGAAAAGCACGGGTATGCCGTTCCTTCAGAGCGCATGTGCCAGTGATGTCACCGGCTGCAGCTCACTAGAATATCTCCTAAATGGTGCAACGCGTCGACGGCATTAGCGTGGTGACGTATTTCCGGCGTGACGCCATCTTGGAACACCTTTTGATCATGTTCTACACCCAGCTCATTGGAACTTCCTTGATACAAGCTACTGTAATGCGAGTTTGCATTTTGGCTTACTTTACATGCCAATAAAGCAGTATTACACTATGGAGATTGTGTTCTCATCTCGTTATATGGGCATATGAGCGTTTGTGCTATAGAAGAGTACCTATATACCTGTTGACTGGTCCAGTGGAACATGGATACCATGATGACTGCCTGCACCACCTGCTTTTAGGAGCCATTACTCTGAGGGATTCAGAGGGGATCTTTATATGCTTTGTGACCCTGCAGGGTTGCGAAGTAGAGGTGAGAGGCCATTGCAGCCATTTTGGGATCACATTGATGGTGTGCTGTTACCCACATCTTGCATGATCAGGAGGATTGTAGCACAGAATAATGGACTTATGACACCGATATTTATAATGGCCATTTGTTTATGTTCACTATTTTGCATGGTGTATACACCTTTGATCCCTCTATAGGGATTCGCCTGTCATTGACTGTGTCCCAATCCGGGTACCAGGGGTCACAATTTTAATATCCCCATGTGGATTGGGGTCACCATTGTGTATGTATCACCAGTTATAGTCCACTTTTAGGACAATTGTTATATGATGTTTACACCTTATATCACTTGCTGTTGCTTCACATTTTAGCGTTGCATCAATTATATATTTGTATTACTAACACAGGGCTTACCTATAGGAAGGAGCAGTGCCAACACTGATACACCTTCTACACTACACAAAACCCAGTACAAGGACATGTTTATCAAATATAAATGTAGAACAAACCTCTTTATTACTGTCATTATCATCCCCGTCTGGACGCAGAATGCGGGTTTTCACTATTTCTTCCTTTGACTTCCACGGACGACATATGCGGTCGGCTGAAACTTTGACTCTCTCACTGCTGGCTTTAGACTTTTCCACTGTGGAGTCCTTGTCTTTACTTAAATCAACCGCTTTTACAAGTGGTGGCGGAGGCTGCAATAATACATTATACTTGCTAGTTGTAATGCACACTTCTTAGATTACGTAATGTACACAAATCACACACAATTATAGATAAGTAAAAATGCCCATGTGTATCATGACACTGATAAGGCAAAAATTACAAAACCCAGGCTTTGTTTAGTGCTGTGCTACTGGCCTGACATTAACTGCAAGGTACAGACACTGCACATGTCAGCTTCTTATATGATTCTTACCAGGTCTCTCACAGTCTGGACAAATAGAAATGATACATTCAGAAATAACCTCTCCTAATAACAGCATTTGTCCCCATTTCCTACCTATAACGCATCTCTGTGTAATGCTAATATGACCCTTAGAGCAGGAATCATAGGCAAGCTAGAGGCTTATTAATCTGAACTAGCCGCACACTGCACTAATCGTGCCTTTTACAAATTCTTCTGGTTGTGGACTTTAGATGTACTCTAAGTTATCTAAATACGATGGTCATGCGTGGTATGCCCTGTGTTCTTCTCTTCCCCGGCAGATCCCTAGCTGCGTTCACCAGCAAATCTAGCATGTTATTTTACTATATTGTAATTACTCTGGTTCATTCATAGTACACCAAAGGGTTATCCTTTGAACTGCAAATGAAGCCAATTAAAGAAAACTTGCAATAAAAAAATAAAGTGGTTCTAAAAGGCTGAACAAGGCCATCCACAACACTGCCCCTAGCTACATCACCATCCTCATCCAGAGATACCGCCCAAATCGCCCACTCCGCTCCTCCCATGATATCCTCCTCTCTAGCTCCCTCATCACCTCCTCCCACGCTCGCCTCCAGGACTTCTCCAGATCCTCTCCCATCCTCTGGAACTCCCTACTACAGCATGTCCGGTCAGCCCCCACCCTGTCTGCCTTTAGGTGATCTTTGAAAACTCACTTCTTCAGGGAAGCCTACCCCACCTCCACCTAAGAACTGTACTTGAGCCACCTCCACCAGATCACCCCCCGCAGCTATCACCTTTTGTATCACCTCCCCCTTCCTTTAGATTGTAAGCTCCACGAGCCGGGCCCTCCTATTCCTTCTGTACTGAAATGTATTGTAATTGTACTGTCTCCCTTATATTGTAAAGCACTGTGCAAACTGTTGGCGTTATATAAATCCTGCATAATAATAATAATAAAGGTTAAAAAAAAACCTCCCGAGTGTAGCTCCCCCCCTCACACCCACAGCGTGGTTGCTCAATTCTGGGAGGGCATCATATGACATCCTCCAGAACAGCCCCCCGCCCCCCCCCCCCCCGCAGCGTGCACCCAGCTTCACGTGACATGGTAAAAGGCCAATCACAACGGCCTTTTACCACGTGATCAGCTGTGTCCAATGACACAGATCACAAAGTAAGTACAGTTGCTGGTTATTGATAAACTTCAAATGTCACAGAGGACACCCGCACTGATAATCAGGTTACTGATTACCGGTGCCCTGATCATCAGTGCCCACCAATGCCACCTATCAGTGCCAGCCAGTGCCCATCAGTGCTGCATATCAGCGCAGCATCATCAGTGCTTCCTCATCAATGCCCACCAGTGCCACCTCATCAGTGCAGCCCAAGAAAAAAAATTTGTATCACTTTAAACCGGGTTAGCAACCAGTAGGTAGCAATCTACCAGTAAGTCAAAGCCAGGTGACTGGTAGACTGCAGTCTGTGCTTGCTGACCCACCATTCTAGAGCTTCAAACAGAGTACAATGCAGAGGGACTACTTGTAAAACTGGAGCTGTAGTAGGCAGCAAGATGCACATAAGCAGATGCCTCCTCTGTAGTTCCGGCTCCTGTCCCATGCAGAGGGACACAACTGCACTCCACCTCTTATCCTGGCTAGAGGTCTCCAGAGTGGTGCCAGCAGCAGGAAAGAAGAGATCTTCAGGTCAGTGTGAAGAAATACATTGGGCATAATAGTATAAAGGCTGCTTTCACACTGATCTGCTGCGGTTTTACCCACACCGCAGCTGGAGTGCACTGTATCTGAAGCTTTTAGCCATAGACTTCTGTTATACCCTGCGAGTTTGCTGCATTTTCTGAAAGTGCATCAAAACTTCTGAATGCAGTTATTTTTTAATCTGTGTTATTTATTTATGTTGCATTTTAACAGTATGGATGATTTATTGAGTACAGTTTTATTGCAGTTTTTGGTAATTTTATTGTGTCGTTCTTGTTCTGTTCCTTGTTGTGTTCTTGTGTTATCTTCATTGAATGTGGCTGTATGTTAATAATTTCCTTTTGGGATTAATAAAGTATTCTGAAAGCTGCAGGTAAACCGCAGCACAACAGTAAGGGTTCATTTACAAATAAATATATAAACTCCTCCACTACAAACCCCTCAAAAAGTCATACTTTCTCCCTAGAAAGTGCAATAATATAACATAACCTTTTTGTGATATATTAAAATAAAATTAAACCATAAAGTGTCCAATAAAGATCTCAAAAATCCCAAAGGTGTCCAAAAAGTCCAAACAGTGTCCAAAAAGTACCAAATTTCCAAACTTTTTCATCCAATAAGAAGGATTGACTCCTATTTCATCCAGTAAGAACCTCAAAATAAAAAAATAAAGACTCTAGTGCATTACCTTTATACAAAGGAATAATCACTCAGTGCAAATCTCAAACCACTTCAAAAATGTGCCAAAAAAAAAAAAAAATATTTTATAATAAAAAATAATAATAATAATTTCTTATAGTGCACATATGTAACAAAAATTAAACTGTGAACACTCTGTGATCACTGCAACACTGTGCATACACCATAAACCCGCACCCAGTAGTACTAAATACTATTACCCTCTGTGTGTATTAATCAGCTTATCAATATTATGGGTCAGAAATCTTCCATTCTCTCTTCAAAGATATTTTTCCAAGGTCCTCAGAAAGACAAGAAGGGTCTCAAGACTGATATTCAAAGCATAGGGAAAAATTTAATAATAATAATTATTTTTATTATAAAAATGTTTTTTTTTTTTTTTTGGCACATTTTTGAAGTGGTTTGAGATTTGCACTGAGTGATTATTCCTTTGTATAAAGGTAGTGCACTAGAGTATTTATTTCTTTATTTTGAGGTTCTTACTGGATGAAATAGGAGTCAATCCTTCTTATTGGATGAAAAAGTTTGGAAATTTGGGACTTTTTGGACACCTTTGGGATTTTTGAGATCTTTATTGGACACTTTATGGTTTAATTTTATTTTAATATATCACAAAAAGGTTATATTATATTATTAGGGTTCATTTACAGTTTGGAGATTGGTGAAACCCCATAGTTAAAACATGTTTTTACCACCCCTGCCCCAACCGCAGGAGTGGCCAGGGCTGCAGCAGCAGCAGGATTTTTACTTTCTGTAATGGTTGGTGGGTGTAGCACCTGCCAAGCATGACCCATTCAAATGAATGAGACCGCTTTTCAAGTGCCTTGCAACCCTGTGCAGTACAGCAAACAAGGGGTTAAAGGCAGCATTGTGTGTGTTTTTTTCTCATCAGCTGCTTTAACCCCTTGGACCCTGCAGAAGCATGCAGTTGTGGGGCGCTTACAGAGTGGCCACATTTTCTTGAATGGGTCGCGACTGGCAGGCGGTAGCACCCACCAAAAGCAACACGGGGTTTAATTCCTGCTGCAGCATGTGTACACCTTTGGCTACTGTCTCAGCAGCTAGAGGGGGTAGGGACTGGGGGTGGTAAAACTGTGACTCAACCGCAGGGATTTATCATGCCCCAACTTTACGTGTGAACCAGCCCTAAGGGTGCTGCTGTCGAATACTAAGAGCTCATTCACAAGTGCAGCAGGCACTGCTGTTCCCCTGAAAAGTGATCTGAGTGTGTTTGGCAGGTGGTGAGGAGGCGATATTTTGCCTCCTCATCACCCGATTTAAACCCATGATTGCCGCACAATGTATGCGATTGTGACACGGTAGTTCAGCAACTAGATGCTTAAATCAGGTGTGTGAGGAGGGGGCACTGTGCCCGGTGATCTTTGACTTCTCCCATGTTGTTCAGGTAGATCTCCACCTCTTTAAGGTTGCCTACCCTGCTTTAACCTCCCTGGCGGTATGATTATTTCAGATTTTTGGTGCTGAAAGCGGTACCATTATTTTGCATGGAAATATGTAGTTTTTTTATTGTAGGCTGTAATTTTTAGGAATAACTCACTGAAATCTGTCTGAACAAGAGTCTATTAAACATCCCGGGTATGATAAGATTTGAAACACGAAATCATAAATTATAATTTAATAAATAATCATAAAAAATAATAATATAATAATAATACATTTAATTCAATAATATAATCAAACCGAAAACACTGAAATTTGAAATAGAGCGCCAAGTTCATACATTGCTGAGCAAAGTCGCAAAATCGTTTTCAGTGACGAATTTCCCCCACGAATCATTATCACTCAATTCTGCAAGTGTTTCTGATTTACTATCGCTGTTCTCTAGCTGGTCTAAAACCGCTTTTGACCTAAAGGGACATTTTTTGGACGCCATGGATTTTTCTAAGTTTCCAGGCAGAAAGACAGACAAAATGTAGGCAGGGCACAGGACAAAGCACTAGGGACAATATGTATGTGAAATGGGTTGAAACAGCAATGTTTTACTGTGAAAAATGCGTTTTGAAAAAAATGACATTTTTTAAAATTTTCAATTTTTCCCGCCGCCCGTACGTCCCGACGTCACGGGGACCGGAACACAGAAGCCGGATGCCGGCATCAGCCGGAGGAGATGGCCGGGCACGCTTCAGGGGACACATCGTGGGAGCGAAGGACAAGGTAAGTGCTGCAGGGACTCCCTATGCAGCGCCGCATGGTAAGCCCGAGTGTAGCTCGGGGTTACCGCTTTTGGTACTAAAACTCTACCCCGAGCTACACTCGGGAATACCGCCAGGGAGGTTAACCACTTCAATACCGGGCACTTTACCCCCTTCCTGCCCAGGCCAATTTTCAGCTTTTAGCGCTCTCGAATTTTGAATGACAATTGCGCAATCATGCAATGCTGTACCCAAAACTAAATTTTTATCATTTTGTTCACACAACTATAGCTTTCTTTTGGTGGTATTTAATCACAACTGGGTGTTTTATGTTTTGCCAAATTAACGAAAAAAGACTGAAAAAAAAAAAAAAAAAAAAAAAACGAAAAAAAAAAACGATTTTTTTAGTTTGTTATAAAATTTTGCAAATAAATAATTGTCCTTCATGAATTTAGGCCAAGATGTATTCCGCTACATTTCTTTGGTGAAAATAACCCAAATTAGTATTATTTAGTCTGTAGGAAAGTTATAGAGTCCATAAACTATGGTATATATCTGATAATTGATCAATCCTGATGTACTGATGCGGCCTCTCTCATTTCTCGAGGCCCATTTCATACTCCTGCTACGTGCCTGCTATACCATGTAAGAACACACAGTGGTAGTGGTCAGCTCAGTTCCCTAGCTGTGCTGGAAACTCTGCCTGCTATTCTGCCTGCTATTCTCCAATAACCCCCCCCCCCCCCCCCACTTCTCTCTCTCACACACACACTCACTGGGAAGATCAGTGTCCTGCTGTTTTTCCCTCTTTTTTTTATATGTCATACTAAATGGGTTGTTTAACAAGGTCAGGGTTTACATATACTTTAGGTTTCAACTTTTTCTTTTAGTTTCCATTCAGTTTGAATTAAGGAACATATGTATTACTTTGTTATCCATTTGTTTTGACAGGATTATCGCCAAATCAACAGACCCATATCTGAAATGTGAACATTGCTCTGTTCCAAAAGGGGTATACAGGTGTGAGAGCTGAAGTGGTTAATCACCTTATTGATTTCCTTGGTCAAAGCCTGAACACTGTACAAGTTCACACTTCCATTATCCATGACACTGGCAATATAACGTCCATTGGGGCTTACGGAAGAAGTCACTATGCCGCCATCATGGCTTCCAATGTCAAACGCAAGTTTACATGTTTGGATATTGATGAATCTCATTATCCCATCTTGACTGAGCACACCTAAAACCTGCAGGAAAAGAAAGTTACAACTTTTCTGTTTACTGGAAAATGTTCAAACAGATATAAACTAACATCACTGGAATAAATATGGGTAAGGACAGTTTCAGATTTTCTGTATGCTGGCAGATGTTCGCAGGTGTGCACTGCTTTAACTGGAATAAGTATGGATTTATTGAAAGGGACACTAAATTACAAATCGATCATTGTGGAAAAATTAAAAGCTGTGCTCCAGCTGTAAGTTAACTATTTTAATAGCCATAAGACATGTGTAAGTCTGTTCAGAAAGTTTTGTCATCCTGTGTTACCCAATGAGGAAATCTATAATTACCTAAAGCCGGCCATTCATCAAGGACCGGCCAAATTTTAATCCAAGTATGGGCAGGGTGGTTGTGCAGAAGTCATCTGGTAGATCAACTTCTGTACAACCACCCTGTTGGTTTTTTCCCAATCGATCAGTTCCGCCAGCTATAGCCTATAGTGCTGATCAGTGTATTCTGACGATTGACTTCTGTCAATTAAATGCCGATCAATCATCGTTGCTGACTAAAACAGGCAGCGCTGATCATTGTATTCTGATGGTGAGGAACTCCCGCCACCATTAGAACACTACAGCGGGTTCCCCTATTGCAGTGATGGCGAACCTTTTTGAGCCCGAGTGCCCAAACTGCAACCCAAAACCAACTTATTTCTTTCAAAGTGCCAACACTGCAATGAAACCTGAATATCGAGCTTTTGGTTTAGAAAAAACAACTCGTACAGTAGTGCAAACTAATTAACAGTACAGGGATGATCAGAGACTACGGACACAGTACAGGGATGACCAGAGACTGCAGACACGGTACAGACCAGAGATGCAGACACGGTACGGATGACCAGACGGTACTGCAGACACGGTACAGGGATGACCAGAGACTGCAGACACACGGTACAGGGATGACCCCCAGAGACTGCAGACACGGTACAGGGATGACCAGAGACTGCAGACACGGTACAGGGATGACCAGAGACTGCAGACACGGTACAGGGATGACCAGAGACTGCAGACACGGTACAGGGATGACCAGAGACTGCAGACACGGTACAGGGATGACCAGAGACTGCAGACACGGTACAGGGATGACCAGAGACTGCAGACACGGTACAGGGATGACCAGAGACTGCAGACACGGTACAGGGATGACCAGAGACTGCAGACACGGTACAGGGATGACCAGAGACTGCAGACACGGTACAGGGATGTACCAGAGACTGCAGACACGGTACAGGGATGACCAGAGACTGCAGACACGGTACAGGGATGACCAGAGACTGCAGACACGGTACAGGGATGACCAGAGACTGCAGACACGGTACAGGGATGACCAGAGACTGCAGACACGGTACAGGGATGACCAGAGACTGCAGACACGGTACAGGGATGACCAGAGACTGCAGACACGGTACAGGGATGACCAGAGACTGCAGACACGGTACAGGGATGACCAGAGACTGCAGACACGGTACAGGGATGACCAGAGACTGCAGACACGGTACAGGGATGACCAGAGACTGCAGACACGGTACAGGGATGACCAGAGACTGCAGACACGGTACAGGGATGACCAGAGACTGCAGACACGGTACAGGGATGACCAGAGACTGCAGACACGGTACAGGGATGACCAGAGACTGCAGACACGGTACAGGGATGACCAGAGACTGCAGACACGGTACAGGGATGACCAGAGACTGCAGACACGGTACAGGGATGACCAGAGAGACCAGAGACACTGACACGGTACAGGGACGACACAGAGACTGCAGACACGGTACAGGGATGACCAGAGACTGCAGACACGGTACAGGGATGACCAGAGACTGCAGACACGGTACAGGGATGACCAGAGACTGCAGACACGGTACAGGGATGACCAGAGACTGCAGACACGGTACAGGGATGACCAGAGACTGCAGACACGGTACAGGATGATGACCAGAGACTGCAGACACGGTACAGGGATGACCAGAGACTGCAGACACGGTACAGGGATGACCAGAGACTGCAGACACGGTACAGGGATGACCAGAGACTGCAGACACGGTACAGGGATGACCAGAGACTGCGGACGGTACAGGGATACAGAGACTGCAGACACAGTACAGGGGATGACCAGAGACTGCGGACACAGTACAGGGATGACCAGAGACTGCGGACACAGTACAGGAGATGACCAAAGACTGCGGACACAGTACAGGAGATGACCAGAGACTGCGGACACAGTACAGGAGATGACCAGAGACTGCGGACACAGTACAGGAGATGACCAGAGACTGCGGACACAGTGCGGACACAGAGAGGAGATGACCAGAGACTGCGGACACAGTACAGGGGATGACCAGAGACTGCGGACACAGTACAGGGGATGACCAGAGACTGCGGACACAGTACAGGGATGACCAGAGACTGCGGACACAGTACAGGGATGACCAGAGACTGCAGACACAGTACAGGGATGACCAGAGACTGCAGACACAGTACAGGGATGACCAGAGACTGCAGACACAGTACAGGGATGACCAGAGACTGCAGACACAGTACAGGGATGACCAGAGACTGCAGACAGTACAGGGATGACCAGAGACTGCGGACAGTACAGGGGATGACCAGAGACTGCGGACAGTACAGGAGATGACCAGAGACTGCGGAAAGCACAGGGATGACCAGAGACTGCGGACAGTACCGATGACTGCTGACCTTTGGGGAGGGAGGGGGAGCGGGTACCTGAATTTGACAGGTACCCGCTCTTACTTCCGCAGAGTTTTTTTTTTTTTATCTTACCTGTTCCTTTATCCAGCCGCGCGCTGTCTTCCCGGCTTCTGTAGTGTGGGCGCTCGTCGGACAGCCGGATGCCCAGTGCGCATGCGCGAGAAGCGCTGCGCTTTGTGATTGGTCCGGCGGCTTCTGGGATCTGTCATGTGTCCCAGGTACCGCCTTACCATTCACAAAGAGCACTGCTTCTTGCGCATGCGCACTTGGGACCCGGCTGTCACGCACACTACAGAAGCCGGGAAGACAGCGCGCCGCTGGATAGAGGGACAGGTACGGTCCCACTGCAGAGCTGAGCGGCCGGCCCGGTATTCTGACACGGCGGCGGTGGAAATACCGGACCGGCCGCTCTATATTCGCTCCATAAGACGCACTGACATTTGGGGAAAAAAAGTGCGTCTTATGGAGCGAAAAATACGGTATTCTCCTGGCGTGCCCACAGATAAGGCTCGGCGTGCCGGCTGTGGCACGCGTGCCACGGGTTCGCCATCACTGCCCTATTGCCTATATCCCCCCTGGCTGAACAAAAAAAAAAAAAAAAAAACTGACTGTGACCAGCTTAAAACTGAGAATGAGGAGTACAATCCCACCCCCTTAAGTTTCCACGGCCAAATTCTTCCATTCAAACTACACAGCGCAGATGGATCAATCGCCCTCTGTGCCTATTTTGACAGCTAGCCTTACTGGAACTCAATGTATCGGAGCCTCAGCTGCATATGATTGGATGCAGTTGCTTTTTGACCAACAATTTTCCGACTCCTTCGATTTATCAATCAAGCGATGTCAGGTGGGAGGCAGCTGACACGTCCCTTAAAAACCAGCCAAAAATCATACAGTGTATGGCCAGCTTAAGTAATAGACAATGCAAACAATCTAAGGCAGCCAGACACATACTTGACTGGATCCGCCATCAAAGCTGTCAGGAAGGAACTCAAGCTGGCGAACACTCCGCACCGTGCTGGGCATCTGGAGGACTCTGAATAGCTGCTTGGAGGTCAGACACCACAGATGTACGTTGTTGGATTTTCCTCCAGCTGCCAGCATTCTTCCATCCCTGCAAACAGCAAAATAACATTACCAGTCGGCTTACACAGTTATCACACTGGGAACTTAACAGAAGCAAATTAGGTCAAATCTGCATAAATTGTTGGTGCCATCCCTGTTTATAAGCTTGCAACAACATAACAAACATGTTTAAAGCTGAAGTTTAACCTGCTTTATATTTTTGCCTTCCCTGGTTCATCCCAACCCCCTTCATCAGCATGATATTTAAAAAACACATTCTTTCCATTTATTATATACTTTAGTTATATTAGACTAGGTCTGACCTATGAAATTCAGGCAGATTATGGCTGGTGGGAGGGGATGTACATAGTCCCTGATGAAGTGACGAGGGGCTTGATGTAATGCGTGGGAGAAGCCAGGTTGCCGGACATCGCAGACAATACTGGTCTTAAAGGAGCGCTGATCTCAAATTAAATGTAAGAGCCATATTTTTAATAAACAGCTTGGTTTTAACTACTACAGTATGTAAGGCTGTACTGTGTTTACTTGAGCATGATGGAGGAGTAAGAAGGAGTGACTGCCCGTAAGATCGAGGAAGAGAAGATTGGCCTTTTTTTTTCTGAGGAGAGATTATTAACCCCTTTGCGCCAGCGCCTCCCGGCCCTTAAGAGTTTCAGAAGCCGGGGGGGGGGGGAGATGGGGTTTTAGGGTCATGTGACTGCCGTGATTCGGAAAAGGTCCTGATCGCAAGGGGAGATCGGGACATAGTTTCATAGTTAGTCTGGCTGACAAAAGTCCATCCAGTTCAACCATTAAAAAAAAAAAAAAAAGTTATAATCCTACACCCACAGTTGATCCAGAGGAAGGCAAAAAACCCAGCAAAGCATGATCTAATTTGCTCCTGCTGGGAAAAAAAAAAATTCCTTCCTGATACTCCGAGAGGCAATCGGATATTCCCTGGATCAACGTTACCTATAAATGTTATATCCAGTTATATTCTGTGTATCTAAGAAAGAATCCAGGACTTTTTTAAAGCAATCCACTGAGCTGGCCAGAACCAACTCTTGAGGGAGTCTATTCCACATTTTCACAGCTCTCACTGTGAAGAAACCTTTCTGTGTTTGCAGATTAAATTTCTTTTCCTCCAGACGTAGAGTGCCCCCTTGTGCTCTGTGATGACCTCAGGGTGAATAGCTCTACACCGAGTTCACTATATGAACCACTGATGGATCGATCACCTTTCCGTGAGTCACGGACATATGTGCTGGGAGTGTGCAGGGAGGGCGCTCTCAGCACATATGTATTTTCAAATTTTACGCAAATATGCGGCTGCTCAATGTCAAGGCCTAGATGCTGAGAGGCTGCATATTTGCGTGCGCTCAGCATCTAGGGGTTAACCCCACAGGGGAAAAGCGCATCTAGACCTAATAAAGGATGCACTTAGGTCTAATTTTGGAGGTGAGCACATCATCATTAAGGTGACGGGAGTCACAGTTGCATGAAGGTGGTGATTATTGATTTAATCACAGATTGGAAGAAGATGTATGAGTTGTACTAAGGAAGATTAGTCTGAATTTGGGACTTTCACACACTGATTATGTTTAATCTTTCATTCCATTTTATTGAGCACTCTATTACACAGAGGTGTATTTTTGTATATTAGTTTAAACAAATGTTTTATGCATTTAATTCTGTGTGTTTATGTTACCTGCATTTTTTTATCTTTTTGATTTAGTTTGTTCGGTAAGGGAGCGCCGCATATATCTTTCTATATTTTTATGTAGCAAGTGTGAGAATGGCTAAATGGTTAGCACTTCTGCCTGGCAGTACTAGGGTCGTTGGTTCGAATCCCAGCCCCGGCACCACCTGCCTGGAGTTTACATGTTCTCCCTGTGCCTGCGTGGGTTTCCTCCGGGTACTCCGGTTTCCTCCCACACTCCAAAGACATGCTGGTAGGTTAATTGGATCCTGTCTAAATTGACCCTTGTATATGAATGTGAGTTAGGGACCTTAGATTGTACGCCCCTAGAGGGTTAGGGACTGATGTGAATGTACAATATATATGTAAAGCGCTGCGTAATTGATGGCGCTATGTAAGTATTTGAAATAAATAATAATACACATTGATGTGAGCTGCACTAGATCACGAATTCCTAGCCAGTTTTCTATCACAATATACTTTTCACTGCACTCTTGTGTTTAGTTTAAATTGGGTAGCACAGAAGTCACACTACACTATAGATTTGATTCCGTACATGATGCTTATGAGTGCATAGCTACTGTTTTTAACTAATAAATCCTGCTACACTATTGGCGGTCTGGCACCTCTTTTTCCTCTTCCCATCCTAGGTAATGCCTAAATGCAATCCTGAGCCTCCACAATTGAAAGAACTGAAGTCCAATGAATGAAAAAGGACAGGACAGGGAAAAAAGCTAAATGATGCTGGACATCCTCCAGTCAGGAAATGAAGTGGACTCTGACTTGCTGCAGCTTCTAATACACTCTCTGAGAATCTCAAAGTGTGCAGTGAAATCAGAATAAGCATTTTCATTACAGGAGAGGAGCCTGTACAACTGTGCAAACCTGAATGGTAGGCTGCAGTTCACTTTTTAAAGCCAAGCCTAATTTTCTCCATTTTCTGACAGTTACATATGTACTTTGTATTCTATATTTTCTCATTTATTTGATACAGCCACCCCACTCTGCTTTGCTAATTTGTCTTATCACTCATTTGTAAAATTTTGTGTCCAGTAAACATGCCTGCTAGAATCACACCAATCTGACAATCATGACCAGCACAACCCAATGCAGCTTCAGAAAGTGTGTGAAAGGAATAGCAAAAGGTTGCTTTTTTTTTTTCTACCAGTTGAATAACAACAAAATATCCGGCCATAGGTCCCATTATACCTTGTAACAGCGAAGGCTTTGTATCGCACCATGGACCCATCTTCGGGAGATGGAAGCTGATATTTGCAGGTAAGAGTATCGCTTTCCCAAGCAAAGATGGAATTGTCCTTAAAACAGCTCAGGATTGTATTACTTAGCGGAAGAAAAAATACCTATGCCAATAAAAATGACAGAATTGTAAAAAAAAAAAAAAAAAAAAATGAAAGCAAAAAACAAACAACTGTTTTTACATGGCCATGGCTTAAAGTGCTTGTAAACCTCAGAGAAGAAATATGAGCAAAGCATAACCCTCTATAATTTGTACTTATCTCAATCCAGAGCACTGGATTGGTGTCATTTCTGTCTACTGGTTCATCCTCTGCTATCAGCATGAATCACTTCTGACAAGTTTTCCTGACACCAAGAGATACAAAGGTGACAGGGGAGGGACCTCCAGCAGACATCTTGTGATTGACTTTGTGAAGAAAGGTGTGTCCCTTCCCTCCAATCAGACCTCCTCACTGAGATCTGCAGAGTGTAATTGAAATCTCAGACAAGCTGTATAAATTCCGCACTTAAAATGGATGTAGGAGACAGATAAACAGGTACAACTTATGTAGGAGGATTTGTTTCATCTCCGTGTATCACTCGAGGATAGTCACTTCACTTTGTATATGTGAGGGTTTACAACCACTTTAACCACTTGCCTACTGGGCACTTATACCCCCTTCCTGCACAGGTCAATTTCCAGCTTTCAGCACTGTCACACTTTGAATGACAATTGTGCGGTCAAGCAACACTGTACCCATATGAAATTTTTATCATTTTTTTTTCACACAAATAGAACTTTCTTTTGGTGGTATATAATTGCTACTGGGTGTTTTATTATTTGCGCTATAAACAAAAAAATAGCAAAAACTTTGAAAGGAAAAAAGTTTCTTTTTTTCTATTATAAAATTTAGCAAACAACTAATTTTTCTCCATCACTGATGCGCGTTGAGGCTGCACGGATAGGCAGCATTGATGGGCACTGATAGGCGGCACTGATGGGTGGCATTAATGAGCTGGCACTGTAGGGCACAGGTGGGTGGCACTGATCATCAGCGATCCCTTCGCTGACAATTGCCGGTTCTCGGCAATACTTTTCTCACACTGTGACAGAGTGAGGAAAGTGCAGCCGATAATTGACAACTGTATTTTCCCACTTATCTGCTGTGTCATTGGACACAGCTGATCACGTGGTAAAAGTCCACCATGATTGGCCGTTTACTGTTTCACGCGATCAGCTGTATCCGTAGGACACAGCGATCACCAGCAGCAGCGCCGGGTGCACACCGCTGGGGGCGTGTTCTGGAATGACATCCATGGACGTCGTTGCAGAACTACACAACCGCGCGGTAGCCATCCTTCAGCTATAGCACGGTTGGGAACTGGTTAAGGCTGATGTTGTATTTAGGGGTGGGAGCCAGTGGGGCCAATCATCTATTGATTTCCTTATAGCATATCCCATTGATGCTGCTGTTGGGATTGGACACGTTTATTTCTACCCTTCCCACAAGACAATAAAGATGTCAATTCTCTGTGTAGCTGGATTCGCTGATAGTTAATATATTGTTTATATACGGAAAGATCATTGAAGAAGTGGCCACAGCAGTTAAATACAATTGAGTATCTCACCAGTGAAATCCTAAAAGATATAGGGAAACATACTGTACATGCTGCTGCAAAAGGGTGGGTTTTAACACCTACACACAGCACATATCATCACTGGGCAGCTAATGTTTCTATGCTGAGATCATGCTCACTGCAGGCACAGAGACAAAGGTGTCAAAGACCGCACATGCTCCTGATCATGTGACCACTGACAGCCAATCACAGTGGTCACTGGATACTTCCCGTCTCCAAAACATTTAAAAAAAGCAAATTGGGGGTGGACAGGAAGGGAGTTAACATTCATATCACAAACAATTTATGTTTCAGTCGACATCAGTTTTTCATAAACATAATCCTGACCTTCTGTATTCCCACAGACTGGCGAACATTCAGCTTTCTCTTCCTCTGGAAGGTGTCCAGGTCCCAGAGCTGAGCGGTGTCATTGGATGTGGTGACAGCATAACGGCCAGACCCATGTACGGAGATCGACGTGACTGTGGACTCGTGTCCACGCATCCAGCTCACCAGTTCTTTGCTATCTATTGAAACATCAGGTGGATTATTTATATAGTGGCAGCATATTTGTTGGGGCTCATTCACATTAGCGGTTGAGGAATGATAAAACCCAGCTGCGGTTTTACTGCCCCCAACCGCTACCCCCTAGCATTAGACAGGGGTGTACGAATGCAGGAATTATACCCCATGCTTCTTTCAGTGGGCAGAGCACCTGCCATTTGCGACCATTTAAGTAAATGTGTATGCTCTGCATTGCACACAGTTGCAGTACATGGTTCAAGTGGTTAAAGCAGGCAGTGAGGAGGCGATACATTGTCTCCTCACCACCTGGTAAAAGCTCTCCCTGAGAAGCAGTTAGAACGCAGACATCTCTTTAGAGAGCAAAGCTCGTGTGAACGACCCCTTAGTGATTTTCAAGCCAATAAACCACAACATCATTCAAAACATAATGCGGTATAATAAACAGAAATAACTGTCAGAAGGCATTAAACATGAAAGCTCACAATCTAACTACACCGAAAATATATCAACTAAGAGCAACTAAGAATTGGGCTGTAGCTCTGAAGGTGAAATCTCAGTGTAGCGAAGGTCTGCAAGCAAAACAATGGGGTTGATTTACTGAATCTGGAGAGTGCAAAATCTGGTGCAGCTCTGCAGAGAAACCAATCAGCTTCCAGGTTTATCAAAGCTTCTTTCAACAAGCTGAAGTGACTCCCCGGTCACATCAAGCCAGACTTTGAAATCGTGTGACTTACATTGAAGCCGCACAATTTGAAGGTCAATGGACATGCCGATTTCAGGTGCGATTTGCAAGACATCTGACACAGATGTCTATGTGAATCGCTCCAAAAGTAGTGCATGTACTACTATAGAAATCGGTGCGGCTCTGACCAAGTCGGAACTGTACCAATATGACCGCTGTAATTGCGGACAATAGGGTGAGACTTTGCATGCGATTTGCAAGTTGCAGGACATGCAAATCGCATGCCAAGTTGCACCTGTTACCAGGGTGTTATGCAGGCCATAGATGGGTCGAAAATCGGACAATTTTTGAAGAAGAAGGAGGAAGGAGAAGAAGGAGGAGGAAGGAAGAAGAAGGGAGGAAGGACGGAAGGAAGGAAAGGGAAAGGAAGGAAGGGAAGAAAGGAAGGGAAGAAAGGAAGGAAGAAGGAAGGAAGGATGAAGGAAGGAAGAAGGAAGGAAGGAAGGAAGAAGGAAGAAGAAAGAAGGAAGGAAGAAGGAGGAGGAAGGAAGGAAGGAAGGAAGGAAGAAGGAGGAGGAAAGAAGGAGGAGGAAGGAAGAAGGAGGAGGAAGAAGGAGGAGGAGGAAGGAGGAGGAGGAAGGAAGGAAGAAGAAGGAGGAGGAGGAAGAAGAAGGAGGAGGAGGAAGAAGAAGGAGGAGGAGGAAGGAAGAAGGAGGAGGAGGAGGAAGGAAGAAGAAGGAGGAGGAGGAGGAAGGAAGAAGAAAGAGGAGGAGGAGGAAGGAAGAAGAAGAAAGAAGGAGGAGGAGGAAGGAAGAAGAAGGAGGAGGAGGAGGAAGGAAGAAGGAGGAGGAGGAGGAAGGAAGAAGAAGGAGGAGGAGGAAGGAAGAAGAAGGAGGAGGAAGGAAGAAGAAGGAGGAGGAAGGAAGGAAAGGAGGAGGAAGGAAGAGGAAGGAAGAAGGAGGAAGAAGCGGTTGCAACAATGTATCTATTTGTATCCGAATAAAACCATCTGTATCCGAACTGGATACAAATAGATACAATGTTGCAACCGCTATACTTGTTAATGTCAAATATAATAGCGGAGCTCTCTGCAGGGACAGAAGTAATTAAATGCCGGCCGTAGACGGGACAAAAATCGGACAATTCTTTTTTACTGTTGGTGGTAACGTCTGCCTATTGAATGACCAATTTTTTTTTTTTTCTTTTTAAAAACGCCCGGTTTTCGACCAGTCTATGGCCTGCATTAGAAGCTGTTTGCCTACCATGCACAGCTGCACCAGATTTTGCACTCTCCAGTTTTGGTAAATCAATCCCAATTTGCTTCACCTGACACCTATCCGGAGTCAGCAAAGCCACCATGATTACCTTTATCGAAACACTTCACAGAATAATCTGCAAGAGCCACAAGAAACTCGGATTTCCTGTGCAAGGTAAATGCCATTGCAGTGCAGGCCTGCATCGTTTTCTGGACCACATCAAACCTAGAAGGGAGAAATAGTAGAAAGTTCAGTCTCATCCTTACAGAAAACAATATGCAGCATGACCAGAAAGATACAAAGTGATTCCATGAAATCTTTACCAAGGCTCCATTCACACCTTTGCAGTTTGCTTTTTGTCAGTTTTGCAGTGCTTTTCGCGTTGTTCTACATGCGTTTGACGCATTTTGTTCAATTTTATTTAAAAGTGAAAGTAAACAGTTCTCCTCCCTGTCAGCTCATGCACACTGCTTTGAATGGCTGTGCACAGCCATTCGAAGTAGTGTGCTTACAGCGAAGCACACACAGCTAACCCTTTGATTGCCCCAGAAGTTAACCCCTTCCTGCCCAGTGCCATTAGTACAGATTTTTACTAGCACTGATCACTGTATTGGTGTCACTGGGGATGTCATTGACACCAAGTCAGTTCCCCCCAGTGTCAGAATGTCCGCCGCAGTCCCGCCATAATTCGCTGATCGCCGACATTACTAGTAAAAAAAACAAATAAATCCCAGTATATATACCGCCATTTGTAGATGCTATAACTTTCAATAAATCAATTACCGTATTTGCCGGCGTATAAGACGACCCCCTACTTTTCCTGCTAAAATGTAGTGTTTGGGCTATACTCGCCGTATAAGACTACCCCTCTTCCAATGCACACCAGTGGGAGGAATAGTGCCCCATCATTGGTATCAGTGGGAGGCATAGTGCCCCATCATTGGTATCAGTGGGAGGAATAGTGCCCCATCATTGGTATCAGTGGCAGGAATAGTGCCCCATCATTGGTATCAGTGGCAGGAATAGTGCCCCCATCATTGGTATCAGTGGCAGGAATAGTGCCCCATCATTGGCATTAGTGGCCGGAATAGTGCCCCATCATTAGTATCAGTGGGGGGAATAGTGCCCCATCATTGGTATCAGTGGGGGGAATAGTGCCCCATCATTGGTATCAGTGGGGGGAATAGTGCCCCATCATTGGTATCAGTGGGGGGAATAGTGCCCCATCATTGGTATCAGTGGGGGGAATAGTGCCCCATCATTGGTATCAGTGGGGGGAATAGTGCCCCATCATTGGTATCAGTGGCGGGAATAGTGCCCCATCATTGGTATCAGTGGGAGGAATAGTGCCCCATCATTGGTATCAGTGGGAGGAATAGTGCCCCATCATTGGTATCAGTGGGGGGAATAGTGTCCCATCATTGGTGTCAGTGGGAGGAATAGTGTCCCAACATTGGTGTCAGTGGGAGGAATGGTGTCCCATCATTGGTGTCAGTGGGGGGTGGAATAGTGCCCCATCATTGGTGTCAGTGGGGGGTGGAATAGTGCCCCATCATTGGTGTCAGTGAGGGGGAAGAATAGTGCCCCATCATTGGTATCAGTGGGAAGAATAGTGCCCCATCATTGGTGTCAGTGGGAGGAATAGTGCTCCATCATTGGTATCAGTGACACCAATGATGGGGCACTATTCCTCCCACTGACACTTGCTGACCCTGTTCTCGTATGGTGCTGCTGCAGCCAACATATGTGGTTGCAGCAGCACCTCTACACTGAACACTTACCTGCTGGTCCTGCACTCGATTTTCGCGGGGCCGCTCGGCTCCGCCCCCTCGCCGGTGATTGGCCCGTCTGTGTGCCTTTCCTGAGCTACAGTTCTGGCGGCCAATCACCGGTGAGGAGGCAGAGCCGAGCAGCCGCACGAACATCCAGTGGCCGAACTGAAGGAGCAGCTGCGCTTCCTGGACCGGATCGTCGTGGGACCGGAGCCAGGTAAGAATCAGCCCCTGCCCACCCCTGTACTTAGTGTCCCTTCCGTTGGAAAGGGGGGGGGGGGGCGGCGGCGGCACCGTGCCACCCCCCTAAAAAGTGTCAGTATGCCATATACCGGCGTATAAGATGACCCCCGACTTTTGAGAAGATTTTCAAGGGGTAAAAAGTCGTCTTATACGCCGGCAAAAACGGTACTTTACACGTATTGGGATTTTTTTTTTTTCTTTAGAAAAACCTGGAGCAGAATACATTTTGGCCTAAATTTATGACGAAATTTGATTTTTAAAATTTTTTTACTGGACATGTTTAATAGCAAAAAGTTAAAAATTAGTTTTTTTTTCTCAAAATTGTCAGATTTTTTTTTTTTTTTTAAAGCGCAAAAAAGAAAAAAACACACAGGCGATCAAATACCACTGAAAGAAAGCTCAATTCGTGGGGGAAAAAAAAAAAAAAGGACATAAATGTCACTTGGGTGCAGCTATGCATGACCACGCAATTGTCAAAGTAACGCAATTGCAGCAGCTCAAAAAAAGCGCAAATATGAACATGTTCAACAGGAAAACATGTTAAATGGACTGTAGAGATTTTCTGCAAAAAGCACCAAGCGGTGTGAACGGAGCCTAAACCAGCAAAGATTTGTTATAAGAAAAGCAGCGGGACAAGCATTATGATTTACATTGCAATGCTAAGGTATCTAAACCAGGTCATTTACTGTTGAAACTCCGCACTACCCTGGCCACCTTGCTCCCTTAGGGACGTTAAAATGAACCTGTGCCCAGATTGTGCACGCTTTCTGAACAAGCAGAAAAAAACACTTTAAAAAAAACTCTCATTCACTTCTGTAGCTATAGGCACATTGGAGAACTTGTTGCCTAGACAGAGGGCACCGACCGCTCAATCATTGCCTTCACTTGTTGCCTAGAGAGAGGGCATCGACCACTCAATCATTGCCTTCACTTGTTGCCTAGACAGATGGAACCGACCGCTCAATCATTGCCTTCACTTGTTGCCTAGACAGAGGGCACCGACCACTCAATCATTGCCTTCACTTGTTGCCTAGACAGAGGGCACCGACCGCTCAATCATTGCCTTCACTTGTTGCCTAGACAGATGGAACCGACCGCTCAATCATTGCCTTCACTTGTTGCCTAGACAGAGGGAACTGACCGCTCAATCATTGCCTTCACTTGTTGCCTAGACAGATGGAACCGACCGCTCAATCATTGCCTTCACTTGTTGCCTAGACAGAGGGCACCGACCGCTCAATCATTGCCTTCACTTGTTGCCTAGACAGAGGGCACCGACCGCTCAATCATTGCCTTCACTTGTTGCCTAGACAGAGGGAACCGACCGCTCAATCATTGCCTTCACTTGTTGCCTAGACAGAGGGCACCGACCGCTCAATCATTGCCTTCACTTGTTGCCTAGACAGAGGGCACCGACCGCTCAATCATTGCCTTCACTTGTTGCCTAGACAGAGGGCACCGACCGCTCAATCATTGCCTTCACTTGTTGCCTTCACCACTCAATCATTGCCTTCACTTGTTGCCTAGACAGATGGAACCGACCGCTCAATCATTGCCTTCACTTGTTGCCTAGACAGATGGAACCGACCGCTCAATCATTGCCTTCACTTGTTGCCTAGACAGAGGGCACCGACCGCTCAATCATTGCCTTCACTTGTTGCCTAGACAGAGGGCACCGACCGCTCAATCATTGCCTTCACTTGTTGCCTAGACAGATGGAACCGCCACTCAATCATTGCCTTCACTTGTTGCCTAGACAGAGGACACCGACCGCTCAATCATTGCCTTCACTTGTTGCCTAGACAGAGGGCACCGACCGCTCAATCATTGCCTTCACTTGTTGCCTAGACAGATGGAACCGACCGCTCAATCATTGCCTTCACTTGTTGCCTAGACAGAGGGCACCGACCACTCAATCATTGCCTTCACTTGTTGCCTAGACAGAGGGCACCGACCGCTCAATCATTGCCTTCACTTGTTGCCTAGGCAGGCTATTTAATAATTTACACATGAGCGGGAAGGTCTGCGAGCCTCTCACCTGTTTCTGTTTAGGTTGAACAGATAGATGTTTCCTAAGTGATCCCCGGCAAGAAAACAATCGCCAGCCTCATCAAATGCTACTTGCAGGAACAGCTTTGTCTGGGCATGAGAAGCTGCAGCTCCATGCATTAAATTCACTATAATTCTGGACAGGAAAGAAAAACCCAGATACACAGGTAAATTCATAGTAAAGCAGATTTCAAATGAATACACACTGCAATACAGGGACCAACAATGCTATTTATGCTGTAAAATGAATTCAGAAAAAAACTGTATATTTAACCACTTGCTGCCCAAGCACAGCATTTACTGTGACCGGGCAGCAGCTGTAGGCCCAGCAACGTAAAACACTGCCGCCTTGCTTCCGGGTTCCTGCTGACCTACTCGGTGATTGGACACAGCTCGATTTTGTCAGCAGGTTTTAGCCCATGATTTATGGCTGAGGCTCTGTACACAAAGCACCGATCTGGCCGTTTCTTCTCCCCGAAAAGCAGGAAGAAAAAACAGTAAGATCTGTAAGTAAAAGCAGCACATTAATACACACATTACACGTTAGGAACACAGTTAACCTTGTCTGCCCCTTGATGTCAACCCCTTCCCAGCCAGTGTCATTAGTACAGTGAGTGTACAGTATTACAGGGATGTGGAACTACTTGTCCAGGGACTAAATTGAGGCCACAATCTCCCTCATGACAATCTACTTGTCCATATTAAAAAAAAAAATAAAAAATTTAACCAAAACCGTATTTAAATTGGAGGTGATTTTAGGAATGTCTGGAGCTTTTAAAAACAAAAAAGAGGCTTTATGGCAGGGTGGATAAAAATCAATGATTTTTTTAAAAAAAAAAAAAAAAAAAAAAAAAAAAAAAAAAAATCGGATTTTTTTTATTTAAATCGGATTTTTTTTAAATAAAAAAGCTTTTTGAGGAAAATATATTACCATCCAAAGGTTATTTCATCATGAAATAAAGATTAGTTTTTTAATCATGTAGAATAAGGCTGTATATGTTTAATTTGTTTGGTACATAAATTCCATTATTATTATTATTATTATTATTATTATACAGTATTTATAAAGCCATGAATCCATTCACAATGTCATGCTCTTCCAGAGGTTTTTGTAAGATTATTGGGCAGTTTCTCTGCCTACAAGA